CTCTTGCTGCCCTCCCAAAAACATGGAACTTGAAAGGGACATCTTTGGACCATGCACATCTAACCATTTTTCCGGCTGCGTGTTTGGAAGGATACTGTGTTACTCGTTTCCCTTGCAAGATCCAGTGGCAACAACGCAATCACCCAACTCAGACAGGCTCCGGCCTGATTGGTGTGGAGTCCACCGCACCTGCGCGGGATTCAAGCGGCACATTGGGCATCGAACGAGTTGATAGGCCGAACAAAGGCACCAAACTGTTGTGTGTGTGTGTCACTCAAAATGAAAGAGCTGGGGTTACGCAGGTGTTTTGCTTTGGTTCCATTTAACAAGGTGCCATTTTGGTACCTGTATTTGAGCCACAGCCTTGTGTTTTTGTGTGTCACTCAATTGCTCCAAGCCCAAAAAAAGGTCCGCCCAGGATCTCCCTGCGACGGTTGCATCGCTTGCCCCAACCTGCTGGTTTGGACACTCTTTCAGCCGAGGGGCGCCGGCTAAGCCCAAACTCCACAACTTGCCTCCAGCATTTCTTGGCCTTGGGGTGAACTGCAAACCGCATGTTCAGGCTCTTGTTCATATCCAGTGAATCTAGCCTACCCCAAAGAAAAACAACAACTAGTCTTACCTTAAAGGATGGGTTTGTTCCTCTGGCATCAAATTTTAATTGCATAGCTGGTCCCGTTTCGACGGCCAAGCGACGCGCCAAGCAACACCAGAAAGGAGCGCCGGTCAGTTGGATATGTTCAACCAAAATGGGCGCCAGGCATGCTTCCAGACCAATGAGGAAGAGTAGATTCGGAATCCTTACGGATGTCCCGCTTAAAACAATACATGCGTGCTATGTTTGTTGTTCCTATTTCTTAACGTTTGAAGGGGCCAATCCTGAAGACACGGTTTTTGGGGCTCCAAGAATAAGCCCAATTTGTCAGCCCTTCCTCCATTGGAGGGCATTGGTGAAAGTGGTGGCCCGCAGAGTTCTGAGGGGTCGCCTGGGCCAAGATAAGCTCTTGGCGCAAGTTGCGACTGCGGCTTTGGGCGTGGTCGACTTCAGAACCAAAAGTCATGACGAGTTGACAATAGCGTGCAGCCCTTATCTTGCTGGTGCTCACCTCGGGTTTTTTTGGTGGACATCATGAGGGGAGTTTATGTCCACCAACCGCTTTTCAGGGGTTCATCAAATTTCATTTCCGTTTGAATGCGCCCCCTGGAAAAACACAGTGAACAATTCCCTAACAGGGGAAATAACATATATTGGTAAGCAAATGGAAGTTTTGGTAGAACAAATCATTCTGTGGACGGTTGCGATCTTTATTTCGCACAACGAAATAAAACTATGGTACGTGCAAGGGAATCGTCATTCCAAGGCTTCTTAGAACAGGATTTCGTCCATCCACAGGGGATTTCGACTCCGGTGTAGGGATGCCGTAAAGGAAACCAGCAGCTGGATGGTTTAGTTCGGGTCATTCCATGTCTCGTTTCCTGCATCTCTCGCGCCAGCAAGTTGCTTGCCAGAGCTGCCACTGCCGGAACGATGAACGAGGTGTTCGGGCCCCTTCCGCCAGAGACCAGCAGAGTGTCCTCCTTTCCTTTTTTGGAAGCTCCAAAAGTGGCAGTTCCCATAAAACACCGGTCAATGACCGGCCAGGGCAAAGCCACACAGAGCCTCAGACGGGTTTGAGCCTGGGCGCCTGACAATGCAAAGTAAGCGTTGTCAACGTGTGTTCGTTTTGGTTTGGTCCAACAGGAAACCGAAAGGAACGGGCCTCCGAGATCGAGAAACCCATTCGGGTTCGATTTTTTTCAGGGTGCCCCTGATTTTGGTGGGCGGGTCTCAGCCAGACAGCGGAAGGAACCCCCAGCAACCTCTTGACAGGCGCCGAGCCCGATTTCGGGGCTGGGCTTGCTGAAAGTGAACAACTTGCAATTAGTTTTCTTTGTTTTTTTTTTGTGGGGGGGGGGGGAATTTAGTGATTTGTTTGGAAACTACCACTAAACCAACTAAAAGCCTAAAAGGCCAAGGAACCGGACGGCCGGGGGCCACCAAGGAGAAAGAAGCCCAGCAAGTTCTAAGCGGCGCCTGGGATGGAAGCCGCCCTTGACGCCAAGCCCGCCTGCATGGGCCGTGGCGGCCAAAAAACCCGAGGTTCTGCCAACGTTACAAGGGTGCACGGAGCCCTTATCATCTTTGTTCCCTACTTCCATTTGCTGAAGTCCCATGACAAAAAAGAAAAACATAGGGCCAGGAATGCCAACGGGAGAAAATATAACAGATTCTTAAGCAAATGGAAGACTCTGATATGTTCAGATTCGGTTTCACCTTTTGCCAAATCTAACATATTACAATTAGTCTTGGGAGGAAACCCCAGATACGTCCCACGAGGACTCGACCCTGTTTCTGGGTAACTCAGGTGACGACTTGCCATCTTGGCCGAACACCAGGTCGTCCACTCAAGGGACAGGCAGCTCGGCTTTGGCACTGAGATCACTTGCAACGGAACATGGAGCCATGCGGCTGTTGCCCCAGGGCCCACAAAGGCTGGACTTTCTGCTCAGCCGGTTAAACGCGGGGGGGGGGGGGGAACACCCGTGTTCCCAAACAAGTAAAGGTTGAAATAGAAACCCAATAGCGCCAATGGAGCATGTGTCGGTGTTGTTCTTGTCAAACACGTCTTTCGTCCGGTCCCCGAAGCTTCTCTCTCACCTGGATCCAACGAAATCCTTTTAAGAGCACAGGCAACCCTGGTTTGCTCACTAGAGGCGCTTCAAACAGTATCAAAGAGTTGCTCTGGTAGGTTCCATGTTAATTGGCTTTCAGATAGACATGTCAAGTGAGGCCCGTATCCTGTCGTGCCCCGACTGCCCTTCCGGAAGCACGCACGCAATCCCGTCAGCGCAGTCTCGTTTGCACTCAGGATCCAAGAAAATAACCAGCTGGTCAATGTTGCCCTCTTGCACCATCTGGTCTGCGGCGCGTCGGCACACCACACCTTTCACCTTGCTGGGCAGTTGCACGTCAAAGGACTTGAGGGTGGTAGGACAAGAGCTCAATGTGGCAGGGGGAAGATTCCTGATCATGAATGTCCTCCATGAACTCCACAAGAGCTTCCAGAAGCCTCACGCTGCCCTGCAAACTTTGCCAGACCTTGGCGGCGCGGCGTTGGGCACCCTCATTGCGAATGCACTCCGTGAGTGCATGTTCTTGTTGTCCTCGGATTTTTTGCCGATGAGATTCTTGTCTTTGA